CAGCAAATTCAGTTCTGTGTTCCCTTATCTAAATAGGACGCATTTTTGCTAGTCACAAAGTTATAGTATCGGATTTATGGACAAGTTTTGTTTTGAGACACATCTCTTCCACAGGTTAACTAAGCCCGTATATGTCACAAAAAAGAATGAAAAACAACACCTTTTGATATAGTGAATATCTTCTCCTAATCATAAGTTCCTGGACGTTCATCCCTAGAAGCTAGAGGAGCAAAAGAGCACAGACGAATATCATGACACAGTGCACACAAATAAAAGTTGATGAGTTATCGCAGGTCGTTTCGAATATTGTTGTTCTCCCCATGAATCAGTTATCATCGACATTGATGAAGGCTGTAACCGGTCAAGGTCAAATAAATAGCGCGGAGGTGTCGGCCATTCAAAACATTCCATCTCAATTAAATGAGTCCGTTTTGCGCCCACACACTTGTATCTCAAAATGTCGGAGGTGGTGCCGCCAGCTCTCAGTGGAAGACAGTTTGGGAGAGTCCTCTCTCCATCACACAACACTTCATATCCTTCGCAATGGCGTTAAATTCTTCATCAGATCCGTTTGTATTTTTCGATTCATATGTTGATCCGATTGTTTCTCAGGTTTCTCCTTTGTGTGAAGATGATCATGTTTTATTATCTACCGTGCTTGCGGAATGGAATTCGAAAAGCACCATTTCATCATTGATTTCAAACTGGAAAACGACTAACCGGTTCCCTCCTCGAAACCTGAAACCCTTCAGAATCATTCATTATAACGTAAATAAGACATATATCGCCAAAATCCCTATCCATCTGGTTTCCTTCGCCTCGCAATGTCACGACGGGTCGTAACGCGCATGAAGGTGTATTAATTTTGGTTCACACGTCGGTAAAACAGGCACACTCACACACAAATATATTGCCGGTGTCCCTATCGTTGGGCTGTTGCAACAAGAAAGTTTAGTGAGTTTATTTGGTTTTTATTTACGAAAAGTTTACGGATGTCATTATCTGGACTTGGAGTTCTTTTTTCCGATTTCTGGTGAACGCACTTCTCATGATCATGTTTTTCGCCCTTCGAAAAAATATTCTTTCTCTGTGTGCTCTCATCCTAATTCAGCGGCTCTTAAAGAATTCAATCTGAATTTAATTGTTCTAAACATATAATTAAACTGACAAAAAAAATTTGACATCATTCTGATAACACAAATAGAACTAATCAAACTACATTAACAAAATGTCAATACCAAGCAAATTCAAACCCATAATGAATTCAAGGTTCTATAGATAAAAAAAATCATACGAATTAATCTGACTGTAGTCATTAAACCC